AAAGGGATTGTCTCTTAATATACTTATATTCTGGTTGTGTCATTACTTGTTGGGTTCACTTTTACACAATTGTTTTCCACGTTTACTTATAGCTAAAGTAGAAAGCTTTACAAATATTCGGTCGTTTTTAGGACTTTAAAGGATAAATTGGTGTACTACCTAATCTTACGTAAGTATAAATATGATTAAAATGTAGATTAAACTGTAAATTAATTGTAAATCAATTAAATAGAGCGCCAACCAAAAGAAATATTATAACCATCCCTTGTTAAGTCATTTCTTTACTGTGAAAATTAACTTGTATCAATCTAAAACCTTTTAAATTGTGACCTAACCACATCTAATAATTTATTAATTTAGTTGTTGAAAAGATGGCTTTAAAACGTATTAAGAAAGAATTGGAAGATTTAAAGAGAGATCCTCCTGCCCAATGTAGTGCTGGACCTGTTGGTGATGATTTGTTTCATTGGCAAGCAACTATAATGGGACCTCCAGATAGTCCATATCAAGGCGGTGTATTCTTTCTAACAATTCATTTTCCAACGGATTATCCTTTTAAACCACCCAAAGTAGCTTTCACAACGCGAATATACCATCCTAATATAAACAGTAATGGTTCTATTTGTTTGGATATACTGAGGTCACAATGGTCGCCAGCTCTAACCATATCCAAAGTACTGCTATCTATATGCTCTTTACTTTGTGATCCAAACCCAGATGATCCTTTGGTACCTGAGATCGCCAAGTTATATAAAACGGACAGAGAAAAATATAACGAAATGGGACGTGAATGGACTAGAAAATATGCCATGTGATGCCCTATTAGGAGTAAAGAATGTCACTGATCAATCTTAATTTCCCCTTTCTTTATCTATTCCCGTCCCTTCTCTTTCTCTTCTCTCCATGCATTCTACACTGTTTCTACGCTCATTTTTTCTGTTCTCCTCTGTCTTGCTATTATCTTCTCTCTCTCTCTATTCCTTCATTTCTCTTCCTTCTTTACCATAACGAGAAAGAGTAATCAACGATTTAATTGAGAGCTAACTACACTAGCCATTAAGTAGGCACCTCAACTTTCAAAGGGACCCGGTTAAACGATGACGGTGATATAATTAAATCCGGGGAATTAATATGTATAAACCAACTAAAATTGATTAATCCAATCGATGACTTATCTCTACACTGTTTATTTGAAATTAATTCTCATATTAATTAAAGAGTCACCTTGATTTCTAAAGAGCCTGTCAAACAACAAGAATAATTTTTCTGGCAGAAGCAAATATGCTGTAATCAAAAGGTCTTTGACTTTGAGTAACTTCATCTCTGTCCAATCAACTGAATGATTTGGCAACTGTCCCAAATGAATTTCCATCGTCAGTACGCAACATAAACTCTACCTGGGAAGACAAAAAAATATAAATTTGAATCAGAGTTAGAAATTTATGAATCGCCCCTTTGGGGAAGTTTATACCGAAAAAGGTTTAAATTGATTGAAAATAGACATAATTCAATGAATTAGAATACAAAAACATGAAAGATAAAGAGTATTCATAGTGATGAATAGTGAATAGGGAATGTAAAAATCAATATATAAAATTTACTCAATAGAATATTAGAATAAACATAATCAACATGAGATCTTTGAGAGTTGGAATTAAAATCAGTCTTTGAGTCAATTCCATTTCTGATCCAAAACAATCTCGTTGGTGAAATTTACCCATATGCTTGACCGCATGGGCGTATTTTAGCGGGGTTCAGTCAATTAGATAACGGTCTTGATAATATAAACGTGAAAACAAAGAATAATGCTCCAATTGTATAACATATTTCAGGTCCAAATCTCCAATATGCTGTAAAAAATTATTGAAAAGATTAGACGTGATTATTAATTGTTGTAAAAAACGAACTAACTTAGCGAAGACACAATTGGACCTAAGGCTCGAGGCTCGAACCTAGAGATCGGAATGTACCAAGGACAGTCTTTTTTTGGTCTGATGGTCCAGTTGATGAGGCTAGAGTTGTTGATCAAGGCACAACAGCGGCAGATGAAAATGAATAGAAAGCTAGTCCTGTATAAAGTTGAGGAATGGTTTGAGATAGTCCAATTGTCAAGAATGCCAACACAATAACAATTAAGCCCTTAAATTAAATAAATAATATATGTGAGCATAGTTGTCGATTAAAAAACTCAGTTTATATACTATTTTAATTGTCTTGAGCTCTTTGCTGGGTTTTATACGCCGGACATATGTTCCTTGAAGTAAAGCCATTAATGTACCACTGAATAAGTATACTTTTGCATTCTGAAAAAAAACAAAATTCATAAATAAGAAGTTCAAAACTTGGAGATTCATTCGATCTATTTACCTTGTGTCTATGGTGAGTTAAGAAAGTAAAAGTATATTTGAGGCCGGAGTATAAGAACAAGTAACGAAAATAGATGAATCCTGAATCACAGATAACTTGTAAATCTTGAGTGGAAAGAAAGGGAAAATACGAATAAATCAAATTGTTAAAGATTCATCATATAACAAAAGGTCAAATGAAATTAAACGCACCTTCTTTGCCAATCTTTTGAACATTTGAAAGACGGGCACAAATAAATCGGGTTAACATATCCAAAAGCCTGCATGAAACCTTTGATGGTTGACTTGGGCTGAAGAGGTAAAAAATGGGTTACAAAAATAAGATTGCCATCAGAATAGAGCTTAAAAAATTTAATTCTTACTCGATTGGCTTTTGGAAGGGACTCTTTGAAGTATATGTAAATAAAATAATATTAATAACAGCCAAAACGTTAGAAAAAATGGCGGGTAAGGCGAAAAATTTTTGGCTCGATGAAAGGGCAGTTTTGAATTGTAGGAAACGAAGCCAACTGAGAAAGCAACAAAAATCAACGCCATTCCTTTAACTTTTTCAGCTTGAGTCAATAGGTCAGTAATAATTGCCGTAGATAGACTGACATTTCCTTTAAACAAGCCCCCTAGCGTACGAGCCATACGAGTCCTTGAGACATTGACCAGAGAAAATGAGAAATAGCTACTCTCACTAAACATAACAACATTGAAACACGACGTCCATAGACGTCGGAAAAGGCCCCGATGAACGGTGAAGAGATGAACTGCAAAAAAGAAAACCAAGATCCTAATGCACCAGTGCATCCATTTATTTAAATCATTTGGAGCACCACAATGTACTCAAAATGTTTCAACGATATCGTTAAGTTGCAATTAAAGGCCATTCTAGATTGAAAAAGTAAACAAACATTAGTTAAGATAAAATGAAAATTGAATGAATAAATGTACTTACTTTATCATTAGTTTCATAATAATCAAATATTGCTGGCATGAGTGGTAAAATAATTTTAAAAGCTGATAAATCAAGAATTAAAGAGGTGAAGATGATATAACAGGAATGGTTCATGATGTTTCTTGAATTCTTAATTTGAATCAGAGTTAGCAATTTTTGCATCGACCCTTTGGGGAAATTTGTACCGGAAACAGGTTTTTTGCTTTAACCAGATTATTTGTATTTATTTACATGTTTCTCAATCTGTTGCAATAAGACATTTTAGATCAGAATCAGCAGTCGGGTATGTCTTTCATGTCTTTCTAGAAATTCGCTTGCCAACTGATTTAATTCAAACGCAGGTAGTTTTTTGAGGTAAGCAGGTTATCCTGGAAGGTTATGAGGAAAGTGCATATGAACTGTGGATAGCACAAAAATATGGACGGATTCACCTCCTTACTGCCAACTGAAAATCATGTACTTATTTCATCTTTATCGAGATTATAATTGACCAAAATTTGCATTCATCTATCAGCCGAGGAAACATCCAAGTCTTCACATGGAGGATGACCAATGATGGATTGAAAGTATGTCAAATAGTTTGCTAGTGATTCTCATATCCTGACCCAAGTCTTCGAATGTTGCAAGAGTTGCGAAATCAGGTGCATTCTGAGGATAAATAGGAAGAAACAAACATTAATTAGTAAAATTACATTGTATTTGGCCGTCTATAGCTTTAAAATAAAAATATTGGATTTATTCCAGATAGGAATCTTGCTTAACTCTTTTGAATTTCATTCAACACTTTCTTCACGCTATCTCTGAAATCATTTCAAATAATGAGTAATATGAGGGAAATTTACTTGAATTTTCACTTTTATTTCAAACATTAAATCTCTGACGATCAAGAAGCTATTACTGGCACTCTAATTTCGTCCAAACCTGAACTG